GGAATTAGTTTCTGTCTGGGAGCATGGAGGAAGCAGCCTCAGCAACAGGCTGGGGGGTTTAGAAGCCGAGACTCCCCCACCCCCATATCAAGGGGGCTGAGGCATCCTAGGCCTGCCCTGTAACCTGGTGACATCTGTGCTGTGTTGTATCTTGGAGAAGCAATAACCCACCTCTATTCTACTGGCTGGTGGAGTCTGTTCATGCCATTTCGGGGGTGCAGGAGACGGGGACCCCAACGCGCCGTCACACCCCACTCCGGGCAGTTCTCTTGCAGCGCCGCGACGTTCCCCCCAGTGCCCCTCTGGTGCTCGTGCAATACGGCACCGTGAAAAGGTACGGCCCCGGCGGGAGGAGGTCACTAAAGCAGCGATGGGCAGCCTAGGGTAGTGAGCGGCTGTTCCGCCATCTCCATGGGTGGCAAGACTGTGGGAACCAGAGAGTGTCCCGGGGCAGGGCAGTTTTGCTCAGTGCGCTGGCGTGCCCGGAATCCGCCAGCTGCACCGCAGCAGCGCTGGGATTGGTTGCAGAGGGAGCGCCCGGCTCTCCCGCTCGCGTGCCTGCACCTCGCCTCACGTGCCCTGGCTCGACGTGCGTCACTTCTGCAAAACCGGTCGGGAAAAACCCAACGTGGATGAAAACCAGCAGCACTTGGCAGCCCAGCGCATGGGCAATGGGACACAACGCGCCTGGCTGCCTTCTGTGCCCTCCCCACAGAACGGCACGCCCCTACCGCCCCGCCCCTCACGGATATGCTGGGGGGATCATTTGAGATCTGGCTCCCCGGGTCTACTCCTCAGACCACCAGGTCCCTATTGACCCTCGAGCACAGGATGCGGGTGGGGGCTTTTACTGCAGCATTAGTTTAGTTTGGAAAAAAGAAGATGAAGGGGGGACATGAGAGCGGTTTTCAAATATCTAAAAGGGTGTCACAAGGAGGAAGGAGAAAATTTGTTCCTCTTGGTTTCTGAGGGCAGGACAAGGAGTAATGGGCTTAAAGTGCAGCAGGGGAGGTTTAGATTGGACATTAGGAAAAAATTCCTAACTGTCAGGGTGGTCAAATATTGGAATAAATTGCCCAGGGAGGTGGTGGAATCTCCCTCTCTGGAGATATTTAAGAACAGGTTAGATAGACATCTGTCAGGGATGGTGTAGACGGAGCTTGGTCCTGCCTTGAGGGCGGGGGGCTGGACTCGATGACCTCTCGAGGTCCCTTCCAGTCCTATGATTCTATGATTAGAGGCAAAAACCTGACCCACAACGAACCCCACTAGCAGGGCCATGCTCATCCAGTGAGGAAACCCATTCCTTCCTGACCGCCGCAGTGGCCATCCCAACGCCCTACTGCATGGAGATTTTTTTTCATACCTAATCTTTTATTTTGAAATTCCCTACTCCCGCTATACAAGCAGCTTTGCTGACACACTTTCCACAAAGGCAGCGGGGGATTTTCTGAACATTTTACATATTTTCCCTCGGCAAAAAGATAAATCACGCTGTAAATTGTACTGTGCTGCTGTCATCTTTGGCTGGGCTTAGGCCAAGAAGTTATTGACTAGTGAACTGGTGCAGTCAAACACTGCTAGCGCACAAGAAGCTCTCCTTCGAGCATGGAGATTAGCGTTCCCTTTAGATTGACTCAGGGACCGACGAGTTTTATCGCTGCTCAGAAACGATTCCAGGCCCTTCTAACACCGGGCTAGGCTACTGAACTCTCCCTGTGGCTGAGAACAGGAGTCTTTTCCAGGGGCACTGGGTCTCTTCGGGTACGTCTACACTGTGGTGCTATTTCGGGATACTTCCGGCATCCCAAAATAGCTATTCTGTCTCTTTTCGAGCAAGCCCATTATTTTGAATTCTAACGGGCTCGCTCTTCTGACTGTCCCTTCCAACCTCGTTCCAGGAGGTGTAGACGGAATTGCTATTTGGAAACACACTCGAAATAAGCTACGCCATTTGCGTAGCTCACACGCCGAAGCTGATTTCGAGCTCTGGGTCCGTGTAGACGCACCCTCTCTGGATTCGGTTCTGCACCGCGCACGCGGCAAGGAACAATGGGCGGCCCGATCCTGAGAGGCGCAGACCTGCCACTGAGGTGCCTCCCAGAATCAGGCCGTCTACGTTTTCTCTGCATCTGACCTGCAGCTTTGTCCGGGGGGGGAGGTGGGTGTATTTGTCCACTTGACCAGAACCTCAAACACTCCCAGGATCTCTGCAGGGGACCGGAAAGAGGACGTGGAGCTGCACCAAGACAGGGGAGGAGCTCGGCTCTACAATACACGACCCGGAACGCAGGCAAAGCTTCCTGCAAGTCCTGATAGTCCAACTCCCAGCCAACGCACAGAGTTTTCCAGCCCTCAGCCCGGCTGACTGAGCAGCATGGCCATGCATTGGTGGCCCTGGCGACGGGGGATCCAAGCACGCACAGCAGGGTGCCACACTTCGGCTGCACACAGGCAGGGGCACAGTCACACGCACAGAGTTTTCCAGCCCTCAGCCCGGCTGACTGAGCAGCATGGCCATGCATTGGTGGCCCTGGCGACGGGGGATCCAAGCACGCACAGCAGGGTGCCACACTTCGGCTGCACACAGGCAGGGGCACAGTCACCCGAGAAGGCGGCTACTTTCTTTCAAGAGAAATTTGCCAGGCCCCGCGGCTGAGGCTGCCAAGAGCGAGCAGGGGCGCTTGCAGACGCAGGCGTCCGGATACATCGAGCCGCACTTGTAACCCTTGGGCAAGGCGCTGGCATTATTTGCATAATACAGCTGTATTTTAAACGCTACCCGCCCCGGGGATGCCACAGTCACCCGAGAAGGCGGCTACTTTCTTTCAAGAGAAATTTGCCAGGCCCCGCGGCTGAGGCTGCCAAGAGCGAGCAGGGGCGCTTGCAGACGCAGGCGTCCGGATACATCGAGCCGCACTTGTAACCCTTGGGCAAGGCGCTGGCATTATTTGCATAATACAGCTGTATTTTAAACGCTACCCGCCCCGGGGATGCCAGTGATATTTGCAAGGGAAACATAAACCCTCCGCCGTGGAATGAAAAGAACCGAGCGCAACGCACGTAGAAGAGCAAGGCTGGGCCAGAAATACAAATGGGATGCTAACTAAGGCACCCGGCGCTCATCA